ACTGCAGTTATAGTTTGGCTTTGCTGACTCAGTATTAATTCCAGTGCCTGAGCAGCTTTGTTTGTTATCTCCTCTATAACTGCTTGGAGTCCTATAATACGATGCAGTATATAATTTGGGGTTAATACAGAGCTAGATTGCTGTGCTGGTTTCACCTTTTTGTTTACTAATTGCCTTTTTACCGAATCTTGGACTATATGTCTAAGATCAAATGTAAAACAAATCCATCTCTCTCCTTTTGGACATTCCATGCCCCAAGTATTACTACTTTTTCCCAAGTTCCTTGTAATCCAATATTTTTCCCCATTTTGCCTGCAGGTACTCAGTTTGGGTGGGTCTGTGGCTGTTGACATGGGTGTGTGTAACAAAAAGGAACTTTGGTTCCTTTCCGTGTAATACTTTCTGTAGCATTTGGGACACGATCTTGCTGGTATCTCAGAAGGGAAAAGACAACAAATGAGAGACAGAAACAGGAATGACAGAGGTCTGGCATGGCTTATACCCCCACCTCCCCTGCCTGTGGGGTTGCTTCCCACAGCAGGTACGTGTGATCTTCTCGGTGGTGAGTACAGTGCTCAGTCCAGGCTTGCCCTCTGTTTCCCTTGTCACTCCTTTTTACTCATTTTTTAGGCAAGTCCTTTTCGACACTCCTTAACTGTGGCTTCCCACCGTTCCTCAGGTATCTCTCACTCAACAGGCACTAATAATCCATCCACAAAACAAAGTTATTACTTCAGTTGTTTTGGGTTCTATCTGTATAGGGAATTGATTCAGTACTCGATACCTCTTGCAACAAGAACATAGATTTTGTGAACTACAATGCCAATTATTCTCATAATTTAAACATTCATTTATAGCCCAGCTGGCATGTCCAATATGAGGATGAATCACATAAAATATACAGTATAGTACTGATGGCAATTTCCCTTCTTCCCTGTACAAGCCACAGGCTGAGGCCAGGCTATAAGAACTCTTTGACTGAAACACTCCCGATCCTCCTGTTTGAAGTGGCAGTGTTCCTCTGCCAAGGAGGTGTCGGAGGCGTCTCAGGGTTTATTCAGGCAGGGCTTAGAACCAGTGATGCAAGCTTTGCCTTATTTCTCAGTGAGGTGTTATTCTTTGTACCTGCCTTGGATCATTTGGGTCTTCCCAAACCATTACCACCCAGTCCTGGTTGGAAGTCAATTTGGTATCACCCGGTTTAGATGTGATAGTCCATTCCTCAAGTTTCCTCACAAGTCCTTTGGTTTTGCTGGCATGAATTCACCCTCTTTCCGTGGTTTGGATTGCTGCTTCAGTGGTACCTGGAAAGGATTTCTTAATAGCACAGTGTTAAAAGAAAAACAATACTGCATTAACTTTTACCATTAGTTTTCTTTAAAACTTTCTGAGTTTAACTAAACTCTTTTTCTACAGCCACTTCTTCTTCTTGTATCCAGCTGTGTTAATATCTGCAGAGACCAATTCTTCTTCCTGTGAGCTATAATTAGTTAAATAAAAAAGACCAGGCCAATTTTAACATGAGATGTATCACATCTCTTGCCTTTTACTTTTTGGGTAACATTTAACTGTTTTAGTCTTACAGACTTTAAGTCTTCAGAACAAAAGCCTTCTCTTCTTAACAACAGCAATCAGAAAGAAAAAAGAAATCTTGCTTAAGACAATAAACCACTTTGTGAGAGTCACAATCTCTGCCTTGATCTTATCTCTACTGGTGGTCCTGTTCACAGCCTTGGGTTTAACTCTGTCCTTCCCCACTTCCCCCCCTCCTTGTTGTCACTCTGCCTAGCAGGAATGGGGGAGAACTTACAGATAGCTGTGGCTGAGGGGACCTTGGGGGTGTATTTCGCTCTCCCCTTCGCTCTCTTTCTCTCTCTCTCTCCCTTTCTATCTCTTTCTCTTTCTTTTTCTCTCTTCACATTTCAGCAGCCACATTCCAATATCAGTCCACTTTCTAACATTAATCCTACATCCTGGAGAGGTGAGTCTGCCAATCACCTCTCCCCCCTTTTTCAACTTCCTTACAAAGTAAATTACTTTTGTTATGCGTGTTCTGCAGGCCTGTAATTCACGGCACCCTCCACCAAGGCTACCAGCCACTCACAGCTGACAGTGCAAAAATAAAGACTTGGTTTGCTATCACAATTTTTCCATTCACAAGCTTGAAAAGGTTGCAGGAACAAAGTAAACAACAACTTACTTCCAAAGTGACCCTGCCTGCACCAAAACAAATTTAAGGCAATGCTAGTTAGTGCAATGCAATTTGCAACGAAGCCAAGGTTTGATTTGGGAAGGCCATCTGAGGACACAGAGCATGAGTTTTACAAATCTGTATTTTGAAGAGGGAATGGACAAAATATGAATAGAGTTGAGGGCAGGGGGAGGACAGCAAGTGAGGAATTTTTCTCTGCAATACTCTCTTTTCGACTGCCAGGAAACACTCTAACACTCTCTCCAAGGAGATAAAGAAAAGCTCATAAAAAACAATCTACATTACATATACTACCATTCATCTACATTTACTCACTTTTATTTTTCACTAACTCTCACATACAACAAGAAGATACTTTTTACTTTCAAACAGTCTACATTACATATCTACACCCTGAGTGCTGTTGGAATGTTAATCCCTCAACCCAGCAGGTTTGAATCCTGGATGCTCTTGGGCACTCTTATCCCTCAATCCGGCACTCCACGGGGTTCCTCTTCTTCCTAAGATCCAGTCCCAGTTTCTCTGGGAGGGATTCTCTCTTTTTTATCACTCGCTTGGTCTCTTTACTGGCCGTTTTTCACATGAAAAAGACGAAAAGCAGCATGAGAGACTACAGCAATCACTTGGCAAGTCTGGGATACCCAGCAGCTTCTGTCACACACATTCATTCCCCCCTTATCCGCCCCATCCCAACAAATACTCACCTATCCTTTGTCCTTGGGTCTTGGTTCTTCGTGTACACTTTAGTCTTGGGGCTAATTACTGCGGTTTTAGGGAATGCTTTCCCTTTTCTTTGTTTTATTGTCTCCTTTTGCCCATAGATCATAACCTGTGTCTGTGGTCACACACCAGGGGAACAGAGCGAGGCTGCCTAAATAGGGCAGGACCCGTCTTCCTCACCCTGACTCTCCAAGGCCCCGGCAGAGAGGTGTTAAAAACCATCCTTTGCTACCATAATTGTGAAAAACGCCAATCACTTGGCTGTTAAATTTTTAATAATAATAACATGGTTATTAAAATAGTAATACAATTAGAGTAATAAAAATTTAGAGTTAGGACAATTACAAGACAATAAAAAGCAAAGAATTAAGGATGTCCAGATGCTCTGGGGCACTTAAGCCACAACAAGCATACCTTGTGAACAAAGGAATCACCCCTAAAACTACACTATTGCATATTCATATATCCTTCATGGTTATGCATACATTCTATTTAAAACAAGAAACTCTGTCTGTTATATGCCAACTATTTCCTTTAATCCCCATGGCGTCTTCGAGTCTGAGCAAGGCCTGAAGAAATTAGATTCTTCTGACAAGAAAACCATAAATTCCTCTTCTTTGGAAGATTTGGGTGTTCTGTGATGGTTATGTCAAAGCGAGTATGTCATTCCTTAAAAGAAAACCCAGATACATAGTTTCTATTTTAACTACTAAAGCTTCAATTTAACTACACAACTACATTTACCATACTATTAAAATGTTAATACAGCACTACTATTCAAACTAACATATGTGCATTTTTCACCTTGGGCGTCTGGTGGAGTATCCCCGGAAAGAGCCCATCTCTGCAGGGAGCCACGTGTTTTCAATTGTAAATTAGGTCTTTCTTTCTCTGTCTTCTGTGGTTTCCAGTCTTTCCCGGCTGGGTCTTCAGGTCTTTTAAAACTTTAAGAATCTTTTTGTACAAGAACAACTGACTTCATGTATATTTTACATAATCACGAATTATTCCACAATTTATATTACAATGGGGCTGCACAGATCCCCCTGCAGGTCCATGGGGATGCAGAGATCCCCCTGCAGGTCCGTGGGGATGCAGAGATCCCCCTGCAGGTCCGTGGGGATGCAGAGATCCCCCTGCAGCCCCTGGAGGAGCCAGGCTGGAGCTCGGCGATGCCTGAGAGGAGGCTGTGACCCCGTGGGCAGAGGGGCCCCGCTGGAGCAGCCTGGCCTGGCAGGACCGAGCCCGTGGCACAGTGACCCACGCTGCAGCACTTGGAGGGGGCTGTGCCCCAGGGGATGGACTCGGCTCGGAGAAGTTCCTGGAGAAGTCTCGGCTGGGAGAGAGCGCAGGGTGCAGCAGGGAACGACTCCTGTCCCTGAGCAGAGGGAGAAGCCGCGGGGGATGAGCTGAGCATGGCCCCATTCCCTGTCTCCTGCCCTGCCGGGGGAGGAGGTGCAGCTGGGAGCAGGGAGGCGTGGGGAAAGCTGCATTTAAGGCTCTGCACTGACTTCTCCTCATCCTGAAACAAAAGATTTTCCAGAGATCACTTAAACTAACAAAATGAATGTATCAGAAATTAATGTATCAAAAATAGATGTATAAAAAGAATGTATCAAAAATGAGTGTATCAGAAATGAATGTATTATGTTTGTAGAATTGTGTGTTGAATTTTAAAAAAAAACCCCTGCACAGAAGGGCATAGGAAAGAAAAACAAAGATCTCTAAAGCTGCTTGCAAAGGACAAATACCGGAATGGACAAAGAATGCTAAGACCCCAGACGAGGAAGCCCTATGTCGCCAGCATGTCAAAAATGATGAACTTATCCAGATAAGAGAGCAAAGGACCAAAAGCGCAAGCGCAGAGGAGGAGAGTTCAAAAGTTCAATGCTGAGGAAGACTAGGATATAAATAAAAAGACCACCAGGGACCCCCATAAGAAACCCTCACAAAGAACTACGCGTGCCCAGAAAGGCGTGGACCTATTTAGCATGGGAAGCGAAGACAGGCGGGGCCAGGGGTTGAATATGCATAGAAAAATTGTGTAATGTATTGCATATGTAACACCTTTGTGAATAAAGTCAGGGGGCAAACTTCAGCTCGGGGCACAAGACTTCGGAGAGTGATCTCACTTGTGCCGAGCGCTCCCATACATACCCACTTCATAACTACCTCGAGTTGTGGAGTCTATTTATTTAGTCCGAATATCGCTTCATTTGGCGACCGCGGCAGGACTTCTCTGCTCACCTGTGGGTTCGGTGGAGGGCAGACACCCTCAGGCGCCGCGGGGCATTTTCCCCGGAGGGATTCTGGACCTCGGCTGTACACTACAGGGAGCAGAGCACGGCCCGTCGATAAACGGACAAAAGTGGTATGTATTATTTTCTTTTGTTTAAAAACGGCACTGATAAGTCGCATTAAAACGCTTCTTGCGCTCAGGTTTGCCAAAGGGGCTTGCAAGCAGACCGCCACCAAGGGTAAGACCGGCGGAGAGGGTGTTCCCCCCCCTTTTTTTTTGTTTTGAGCTGATTGCGCGGCTAAAGGGGGAGGAAAGGGTTAAAATTCCGGAGCTGATTGTGCAGCTCCAGAGGAGAAAGAGAGGCCCCGCCTCTCCTTTTGTTTTGAGCTGATTGTGCAGCTAAAAGGGGAGGAAAGGGTTAAAATTCCGGAGCTGATTGTGCAGCTCCAGAGGAGAAAGAGAGGCCCCGCCTCTCCTTTTGTTTTGAGCTGATTGTGCGGCTAAAAGGGGAGGAAAGGGTTAAAATTCCGGAGCTGATTGTGCAGCTCCAGAGGAGAAAGAGAGGCCCCGCCTCTCCTTTTTGTTTTGAGCTGATTGCGCGGCTAAAGGAGGGCTGATTGTGCAGCTCACGAGGTGAAAGAGAGAGATCTCCGTTTCAGTGTGGTGTGTTTGTTACGTCCGGACGTGCGTGCTCCGGACGTGCGTGCTTGTATATATGTGTGTCTGTGTGAGTGAAACAGTAAGAGCCTCGGCGCTACCGGAAGTCGCCGCGTAGCGTTGCTAAGCGACGCGGCGAAGCCGGGAAGCCTCGGCGCTGCCGGAAGTCGCCGCGTGGCGTTGCTAAGCGACGCGGCGAGGCCGGGAAGCCTCGGCGCTACCGGAAGTCGCCGCGTAGCGTTGCTAAGCGACGCGGCGGGGTCGGAAAAGCGCAGCGCTTTTGTTGCTAAGATACCGCGACGCGGCGCGGGCTGTCTCTGGTGAGCAAGAACGCAGCCCAAACTTGCTAACTACTAGCGCAGCTAGTAAAAGGCAGGACTTGCAAACACCACTTACAAGCATTACTAGTTCCTAGGTAGTCGTTGTGCAAAATCAAGAACATTTGCTGCTGAGTCCTAACTAACAAAAAAAAAAAAAAAAAAAAAAAAAAAAAAAAAAAAAAAAATTTTTTTTTGTTTCTCTTCTTCCCTCCCCAGTGGCCTGGATTACTGGATTACATTTGTAAGGCTCTAGGAGGCATAATGGGAGCAAAACAAAGTACAGAAATATCCAAGGCCAGCCCATTAGGGTGTATCTTAGCTCACTGGAAGGAAATAGCAGGTAAAGGGGGCGTGGAAAACAAAAAGAGCTTGATCAAATATTGCTCCCATTGGTGGCCACTCTATCGCCTAGAGGAGGGGGCCAGATGGCCTCCTACAGGTACATTGGAGTATAATACCTTGCTGCAATTGATGCTATTTTTACGAAGGGAAGGGAAATGGGAGGAAGTTTCTTATTGTGATATGTTTTTCTCCCTTAGAAATAACCCTGAGTGGCAAAGGGACTGTGGCATCAGGGCCCCCTCTGATCCCCTCGTTCTGGCTCTGGAAAGAGAAAACAGAGGCAAAATGGGGAAACTTAAACGGTGCTGCTCAGCCTGTAGTATAGGACAGAGGTGCACCAGGACAGATAAAGTTTATCGCACAGCACTAGAAGAGCAAGAACAAGATCTAAGTAATCTATTTAGTCCTCACCTAAGAAGGCAAGAAGGAAGAGGTGAGAACTCAGGACAGGCATCACCACTAATACCTCCACTACATACTCCCCAGCCCACCCCACCAGCATCACCTGAATTACCTGCAGTACCTGCAGCACCTGCAGCACCTGCTGCACCTACAGCACCTGCATCACATACACCTGTTCCACCCACCCCTTCTCTTCCTTCAGAAAGAACACACGCTCTAACCCCTACAGATAGCCCAATTGCATCCCGAACCAGAGGACAGATACTGCAAGCCCCTTTAAGAGAGACAGTGACATCAGAGGGAGAAAAGGTACTAGTCAGGGTACCATTCTCCACCCTTGATTTGGAAGCATGGGAAAGGGTTGCAGGAGATTACCGAAATGACCCAGTCAACACTGCTAAACGTTTACGATACATTATGAAGCAACACAACCCAGACTGGGGTGACATTCAATTGTTATTAGATGCGTTCACTGAAACAGAAAAGCAGTTGGTTCTAAAAACAGCAGGAGATCTGGTAGCAGACCATTTTAGAGAACAAGAAGTAGATCTAAGGGAACATTTTCCACTTCAAGACCCAGGCTGGAACCCAAATCAGCTAGAAGAGAGACAAAAGCTAAAAAAGTACCAAGACTGGGTAATATTGGGAGTGGAAAGAGCAATTCCTAAGACCATAAATTGGTCAGCTCTATATGCTATCAAACAGGGACCCTCGGAATCCCCCACAGAGTTCCTAGACCGTTTGAGAAATGCAATGCGGCGCTATACACCACTAGACCCTGCATCTGAGGTGGGAATACAGCAACTAGTTAATCTATTTTTGGGACAGTCCACAGGGGATATCAGGCGCAAGCTCCAGAAGATTCGAGGAGAAAACGCCCGGAATCTAGAAAATCTACTGGGAGAAGCCTGGGGGGTCTTTAGCAACAGGGAGGAAGGATATAAGCGAGGGATGAAAAATTTAGTAGCAATAGTACAGGAGGAGCGGAGAGGAAAACATGGAAACAGGCAGGAGCCATCCAGGCAGGGCCCCCCCCGATTGGGCAGAAATCAATGTGCAAACTGTCGGAAACAGGGCCATTGGAAGAGGGACTGTCCAGAATGGAAACAAAATGGTCAAGGGAATCAAAGGGGGGCAATGGTGGCCCATGTGCAAGAAGATTAGGGAGGACCGGAGGAGACTACCCCAGCAGGCCCTCTGGTTGTAAATCTGAAGCTGGGGGAAATGGAGAAAGAAGTAAGATTCCTAATTGACACTGGGGCTACATACTCAGTTCTAAATACAGCTTTGATGCCTATAGGAGATGATTATGTTATAGTTACGGGTGCGACTGGCCAAACTGAAAAGGCATTTTTCTTCAGGCCACTCAAATACAAACTGGGAAAGCAGTGGGGGATTCACAAATTCCTATATATGCCTAACTCCCCTGAGCCACTTTTGGGCAGGGATTTGCTAGCACAATTACAAGCAACCATTACATTTAAAAATGGGGAAATGACTCTGGAGGTAAACGATCAAAAATATGTAGAAATATTAAGTTTGATACTAACCACTAACGAAATCACGAGAGAAACTGAAATTAATGAAGAAGTAATGGATCAGGTATTCCCTGGGGTGTGGGCCTCTGATGTACCAGGGAGAGCGAAAAATGCTTCCCCTATACAGATCCGGCTAAAAGAAGGAAAACACCCGGTCAGGGTTAAACAGTATCCCTTGAGGAGGGAGGATAGGGAAGGGATTAGCCCAATAATTGAAAACTTCTTACGTCTAGGAATTCTCAAGGAATGTCAGTCCGATTTTAATACCCCTATCCTACCGGTGCGCAAACCTGATGGGTCATACCGGTTAGTACAAGATCTGCGAGCTGTGAACAAGGTAACTGAGGACCTGCATCCTGTGGTAGCCAATCCTTACACGTTATTAACTTGCTTAACACCCGAATTAACTTGGTTTACCGTTTTAGATTTAAAAGATGCCTTCTTTTGCCTTCCTATCCATGAAGCCAGTCAGAAAATTTTTGCATTTGAATGGGAAAGCCCCAAAAGTGGGCGGAAGACCCAACTTACGTGGACGAGACTCCCACAAGGATACAAAAATTCACCCACTCTGTTTGGAGAGCAACTTGCGAAGGAATTAGAGACTTGGAAAGCCCCTCCCGAAGAAGGAAAGCTGTTACAGTACGTAGATGACATCCTGATAGCCACACGGACAAAGGAAGCATGCGTGGCCTGGACGGTAAGCCTCTTGAACTTTCTGGGGCTCCAAGGGTACCGGGTATCCAGGAAAAAGGCCCAAGTAGTCACACAAAAAGTAATTTATCTGGGTTACGAAGTCAGTGCTGGACAACGTAGCCTGGGCCAAGGCCGGAAGGAGGCAATATGTCAAACCCCAAAACCTCAAACTGTAAAGGAGTTACGAACTTTCCTGGGGATGACAGGGTGGTGCAGATTATGGATCTATAATTATGGACTGCTTGTAAAGCCTTTATATGAACTAATTGCAACTGAAAGCAGGGACATCCAGTGGACAAAGGAAACTACACAGGCTTTCAACCAACTGAAAAAAGCCCTCATGTCAGCTCCAGCTCTGGGACTGCCAGATGTGAGTAAGCCTTTCCTTTTGTTCTCCCATGAAAAGCAAGGAATTGCCTTGGGAATATTAGCACAGGACCTCGGTCCATACCGGAGAGCAGTTGCTTATTTCTCTAAACAGTTAGATACAGCCGCTAAAGGGTGGCCTGGGTGCCTCAGGGCTGTAGCAGCAGTTGTAATGAACATCCAAGAAGCACGTAAATTCACCCTGGGCCAGAGAATGACTGTGCTAGTGTCTCACACGGTGTCTGCAGTACTGGAGGTGAAAGGCGGACACTGGCTTTCCCCACAACGATTCCTGAGGTACCAAGCTATTATGGTAGAACAAGATGATGTAGAGATAGTGGTGACTAACATTGTCAACCCAGCTTCCTTCCTCAGTGGAAACCGAGGAGAACCAGTGGAGCATGACTGCCTAGAGACCATTGAGGCCACCTACTCCAGCCGCTCTGACCTGAAGGAAACCCCTCTCGAGAATGCAGAAGCCTGGTTTACGGACGGAAGCAGTTATGTCGTCAATGGAAAACGGCACGCCGGGTACGCAGTAACCACCTGCAAAGAGGTAATAGAATCTGGACCCCTGCCAACAAATACCTCTGCACAAAAGGCCGAAATATTCGCCCTAACTCGGGCCTTAGAATTGGCAAAAGGGAAAGAGATAAATATATATACAGACTCAAAGTATGCTTTCGGAATAGTGCACGCTCATGGAGCCATCTGGAAAGAGAGGGGACTGCTGAACTCTCAAGGGAAAAACATTAAACATGCATCTGAAATACTGCGACTTCTGGAAGCAGTGCAATTGCCAGAGAAAGTAGCGATCATGCACATTAAGGCACACCAGAGGATAAACTCAGAACTGGAAGAGGGAAACGAGCTGGCGGATAGGAAAGCAAAAGAAGCAGCAAGGATGGAGGTAATAACTGAGGTAGCACTGATCCCAGATGGGCAGATTTCCCTCGAAGGTAAGCCAAAATACAACAAATTAGACACAAAATTGATTCAAGAGCAAAAAGGACATTATAACTCAGAGGGATGGGCTACCATAGAAGGAAAGTTAGTCATACCCTTCTATTTATTATGGTCCCTAGTAAGGGAAGAGCACCAGAAAACACATTGGGGAATAGATGCCTTGTATAAATATCTGAATGAGAAGATCATAGCTAGACATTTACGAGCCACCATCACTCAAGTGACTCGACAATGTGATCTTTGCCTCCAGACAAACCCCAAGAATATTCCCAAACCAAAACTTGGCCAGATTGGGAAGGGCCATGGGCCAGGACAACAATGGCAGATTGATTTCACGGAATTACCAAGAAAAGGGGGGTATAAGTTTTTACTAGTCCTAACAGATACCTTTTCAGGATGGCCAGAAGCCTTCCCCACCAGAACTTCTAAAGCTCGAGAGGTAACTAAGGTATTGGTACAAGAAATCATACCACGATTTGGGGTCCCGGCTACAATCTCCTCAGATAGAGGATCACATTTTATTGCAAAATTAGTACAACAGGTGAGCCAATACTTGGGCATAGACTGGGAACTTCACACCCCATATAACCCACAATCAAGTGGTCAAGTAGAGAAAATGAATCATTTGATCAAACAACAAATTGTACGGCTGGGACAGGAGGCTAATTTGCCATGGCCCCAATCCCTCCCACTAGCACTACTGCGGATTCGAACCAAACCCAGGACCAAAGAAAAACTGAGCCCTTTTGAATTGCTTTATGGAAGACCATATGGGGTGCAGAAGGGAACGTCTGCCCAGGACGTATCACTAACCTCCTATATGATCGCTCTAAATAAACAACTTAGAGCAATCGAGAAATATATAGCCGGAACTCGGGGTACGGGACTCGATGCACCGGTACATGATGTACAACCTGGAGACTATGTATATATTAAGTCTCTTACAGAGAAAGCCCTGGAACCACAGTGGGAGGGACCATACCAAGTACTCCTTACTACCTTCACTGCAATCAAGATTAAAGAACAAAGCGCCTGGATCCACCACAGTCGGGTTAAGAAAGCTCCAGAAGCCACTTGGAAGATAACACCGGGTGATGGTGAACTAAAACTAAAATTTACTCGAACAAAATGAGTATGTCATGGTGGGTGGGGACTTTTACTGAAATATTGTTTACAATCTTAGCTGCATTCCAACAATTAGAAGGTAAACCTAGTCAGAACGACGTTAAATGGCCTTGGTCCCAAGCCTTTACTCAATACACTGGATCCATGGGGAAAACTTCCGATTTAGAAGGTTTAAATCTAACAACTCTGGTCATACACAGTAATCAAATATATACCCAACAAGAGTGGCAAAACCAGGGTTTGTGGTCACTCCAAGGGACCATAGGAGAAGTAATTGAAGTAGGGTGTCGAATGATTAATGGGACTACCCACAACAAAGTGACTCAAATCAGTGTAAATGATCGCCAAGAGATTTGCAACCATCCAAGTGAATTAGACTGTTGGTGCAAATTCAAATTAGAACAAACTAGTAAAGTGGTTTGCCTCTGGGCCCGTGACACTATTGGGCTGTCCTTTAAATTTATAATAAATGCTATAGCCAAACCAGCTACGACCCACTCCAGCACTCAAGCGCAAACCCAAAATACACCATCCAATCTTGAACCTAGAGTTTATGAAATCGGGCCATATGTTATAAGGAATACGGGCCAACAAAAACTGTTATTTAACCCAGAATGGTCCCTTAAACGCGTTGAACTGTTAATGCAAATTAATATCTCGACAGTTCAGCCAGCCTGCTCCCCTTTCCTAAGGTCGTCCTTCGAAGGATGGACAAAGTGGCTACAGAAACGAGTACACCTCCGAGATAGAATGCAAAGGGATTTGACTGGGATCTTAGGGACCGGGTTAGGAGTTCTAAACGGGATTGACTCTGAAATATTGATGAATAAATTAGCTATAGCAACTAGTGACCTAACAAAATTAAAACAACCCTTACAGTCATCTCTATTAGCACTAGGAAATAGTCAGTGGCAAGTTTCAAGAGTATTGCCAAAATGGAGAAACTTTGAAGATCATGACCATAGTTTACTGATAGATGCATTAGGAGGAGCACAAGAGAACATATCTTTAGCCCTTAGTTGTATACAAGCGCAATTATGGATACAGTCAACAGCTGCTCTAATCATAAGAGAAGGAAGTGAAGGGGTGTTTCCAGTAGAAATACGAAAAGTTGTCTGGGACAGTGCTACAGACTTTGAGAGAGACCTCCAGTCTTGGTGGACCATGGTAAATTTTACATATGATCCCACCACTACCACAGCTACTGCCTTCGTGCTCACCGTTCGTAATGCCACGGTTCACACTATTCACCCCATCATTGCTCTAGGATTAAGTCATGAAAAGTCAGTACTCTACCCCTCAGAACACAGAGCATGGGCCTGGAAAAACCAAGGGAAATGGCAAACCATCAACCTAGAGCCTTGCATTGCTCGAGAGCAACAAGGATTCATCTGTGAGAGTAATCTAATTAGTGCTCAAGACGTATGCCTTGACACTGATCAGGGTATTTGCCACTTTGAAATCCACCCAGACAACAACCAACAAACTATACTAGTATACATAGGCGATGGCTGTGTGTGTTTGAGAACTGTGTGTAACGTTATAGAAATTGATAAAAACATAGTCCCCTTGTCTAGTAAAAATCATTCAAATTTCTGTATTTGTAACTTCATCAAGATTACCGGGTGTGATTTTATATACTCAGCACCAGTCGTATCCCACCAGTTAATGAAGTCAAACTACACAACCTACGATGAATTACCTCCCACAACTATTGGGATGAATCTGACCCTAGTAAAACAATTAATGAAACATCAAGATCTAATCAAAATTATAGAGGAGGTTCATAAAAATGGGCAGAGAACTCTAGTTACAGTCCATCATGACGTAACTGAAATAAACAAAGTCCTGCAAAGAATAAAACAAGACGGGAGTCATAACTGGTGGGATGCACTGTTTGGATGGTCACCGACTGCGACGGGCATCATGAACACTCTATGTCACCCCATTATTGTTTTACTAATATTGGTTACCATAAGTCTGATAATGTCTATTTTAACACTTGTGTGGAATTGGAATATGTTACAACGTGTAGCCATTCTAACTTCACTTTCTAGAACTCATGGGATCCTGATAAAAGAAGACTATCATGATAGTAAGCTAGGAATGAAACCAGAACCCCTGTAGTAAAAGAATTTACTATGTTTTAAGAAAAGGGGGGACTGAAACAAAAGATTTTCCAGAGATCACTTAAACTAACAAAATGAATGTATCAGAAATTAATGTATCAAAAATAGATGTATAAAAAGAATGTATCAAAAATGAGTGTATCAGAAATGAATGTATTATGTTTGTAGAATTGTGTGTTGAATTTTAAAAAAAAACCCCTGCACAGAAGGGCATAGGAAAGAAAAACAAAGATCTCTAAAGCTGCTTGCAAAGGACAAATACCGGAATGGACAAAGAATGCTAAGACCCCAGACGAGGAAGCCCTATGTCGCCAGCATGTCAAAAATGATGAACTTATCCAGATAAGAGAGCAAAGGACCAAAAGCGCAAGCGCAGAGGAGGAGAGTTCAAAAGTTCAATGCTGAGGAAGACTAGGATATAAATAAAAAGACCACCAGGGACCCCCATAAGAAACCCTCACAAAGAACTACGCGTGCCCAGAAAGGCGTGGACCTATTTAGCATGGGAAGCGAAGACAGGCGGGGCCAGGGGTTGAATATGCATAGAAAAATTGTGTAATGTATTGCATATGTAACACCTTTGTGAATAAAGTCAGGGGGCAAACTTCAGCTCGGGGCACAAGACTTCGGAGAGTGATCTCACTTGTGCCGAGCGCTCCCATACATACCCACTTCATAACTACCTCGAGTTGTGGAGTCTATTTATTTAGTCCGAATATCGCTTCAATCCTGCTCTGAGTCTTTGGAGTTTTCTGCCAGAAATCTCTCCCCTCCCCCGCTCACCCACAGGGCTTTGGGCAGGTTTCCCTTTTTGGGGGCAATCAAAGCGAAGCACCGATGCACTAATGAGGGGCAGGAGAAGGGAGGCTCCCGGGCTTCCCGCAGAGCCGGAGGCACGGAAGGCGCAGGGCCGGGAAAGCCGTGGCGGGAGGTGCGGAGAAGTTTGTTTGTGTGGGCAGCTCAATCCCGCCTCGGGCCCGGGCCCGTCCCGGGGCTGTTGCTCATCTCCGGCTTTGCCCTCACGCAGCGCGGGGGGCCCTGAGAGCGCGGGGCGAGTCTGGGCCGTGCGCAGAGCCCGCCCCGAGCTCGCTGCCATTGGCCGCTGGTGCCGTCAGTCGCGGTTGCGGCGCGCTGATTGGTGGGAGCGGGGCGCAGCACGGCCCCGGCGGCGGGCTGAGGGCGGCCGTGGGCGGGCAGCGGCGCCATTGGCGCCGGGAGCGTCTGTGCGGGCCCGGGAGCGGCGGCAGCGGCCGGAGCGCGGTGAGGCGGCGTCGGCGGAGCTCGGAGGCGGCCCCGGCGCAGGTGGGAGCCGCGCTGGGTTCTGCGGGGGCTCGGGGCTGGCTGCGGGCGGAGGGGGCGGCAGGGGGCTGCGGCGGGTCGGTGGTGCCGTGTCCGGCCCGTGCCGGCCCCGGGCTGAGGGCGCGGCGGGAGCGGCTGCCCGCGGTCTCCTTCCCGCCGGGGCCTGGGCAGGAGCCGCTGCCGGAGCAGCGCTGGCTCGGCCCGGCTGCTGTGGGTAGGACAGAGGGGGCTGCCCCGCGGCCGGGAGCGTGCGGGGAAATTCCCGTCGCCGGAGGTTTCTGTGGCCGGAGGAGAGCGAGGAGTCCTGTAAAAGTGACTTTCTTGCCGAGCAGGGGGAGAGGCCGTGGGGCATTTGCCGTGCGCTCTCTGCCATGGTTGTAGTCCGCAGCCTCCTTTTTATCCTCATTTTCCCGGCCGCATCTCCCTCTGCCTTTGCCCACGGGCTGAGGTCCTTGGAAGGTTCAGACTTCCCGATGCGCCTGCTGCCTGTCCTCGTTAATATGCACCCTCCTTTTGTATACCAGCCGATATTCATGGCTCTGTTAAGCCTTTGTTCTCCTGGAAGTTCGGGAATTTAGCGGGACTTTGAGAAATTGTGTGGCTCAATTTGTGAAATTTATTGGAACTGATGGTTTCCCCCGTTACTTCCTTATCTACAGGTGCCTGGCCCTATCTCCAGGCAGATTCACTCCTTGACTCTGTTTTGTTCTTCCCGGGTCCTCTTTGGTTTTGGGATTATTCTCGGTGCCCTCATTCCCTGTCCTTTTGTAGCCGTTTGTGGATCAGGAGGCCTGGCTGCCGCCTGCATCCCCTGGCTCAGCTGCTGGATGAGCTGCACTGCCAAGGTGTGGAGCATGGTAAAAAGATGAGAGTTGCTGCAGCACAGAAGAGGAGAAGCAGCATTCGTTTAACCCCTGGTCTGCCCGGGAGCCACGAAAGTGTGTCCCATTCCCATCCTTTCCATGTTTGGACCAGCACATAAAGTGTTCACCTTTATCTTTTTCACCACTTTACCTTTGTCATCTCTTTGCCAACAGCAGTTTGAATCATTTAGTTCTCCACAAACTCCTGCTTTTTCTGCTAACAGATAATCTGATCCCATCCCCTGGTGAAATGTTGTGTTCCTCTTTCAGTGGAAGGTCAGGAGCTGGAGCTGTCTAGTTGCTTCTTCTTTTGAGGACAGCTTTTAATCTAATGATGCCATTGAAATGATAAATGGGTTCTGTCTCCTGGTATGAATTAGTTTGGGTTCCCAGGGGCTGGTCCATGGTGTTGTAGGATTTGTTCTGGTGGCCCTTCATCTTTTCCCCATTTCTGGGTGCTCCCTCAAGCTGAGGCTGCATCAATGACTGCATTTTTCTAATTACATCATCAAATACTTGAATTCCAACTAATTTCTCTGAACTTGTTCTAGCAAAAGCCCCAGTGCTCTGATACACCCTGTACAGCACAGACAGTGGCAGCAGATGTTGGAGTGGGCAGAGGGATGATCCCCCCTTATTTTAGTGAAGTTTTCACAACATTCTCCATTTGCTGTTTCCCTTTGCAGCCTCAGCCATTTCTGTTTCAGAGTCAGATCCTCACCATGGGCTCTGCCTTCAGCCGTGCAGATTCCATCTGTGCAAGCAGGCAGAGCTTGGGGTGAGGGGCAGAGGGAATCAGCCAATTCCTGCCCCAGGCAAGAAGAGCCAGGTACATTGTCCCCACTCTGCCCCAGCAGTGCTGATTTGCATTTCTAAAGCTCCTCCTGGGTGCCTGGAATGCAGCTTCTCTTCCAGAGCAGCTTCAGCAGCCTCACATGTGCCCCCCCCCAACCTGCTGCTTTTTCTTTTTTTTTTTCTTTCAAATCTTCTATTTATTTTCTTTTCCTTCAAATCTTCTATTTATGAGTTAAAGGGTCACCTTTAAATCTCTTCTAGCTTCACAAAATGTTGCCTAAAGGTGAACGTCGAAAAACCCAGACCAAAATTTTTCTATCTCTAAGAGCCACGCACAAACATACACAAAAAATTTCCAAGTCAATTAAATTTTTTCTACTTCTCCTCTAAGTAAAATCTCATTCTCTCATCCCTGACCCAAACCCAACCGGCAATATAGAAGTAGGAGTAATTTAAAAATACTCTAATGCTCTAAACTTAGCACTGAAACTGCAGGAAAAAGAAAAACTCCACCAATATGTTTATTGTTAGAGTCAAGGCATTCCTTGGTTCTGGCCAGGATGTGCAACAGAAATCATTCCATCTCCACATAGCCCGGGTGTGCAGAGAAAATCGTTCCATGACACGTAAAGTATCAGTAAAATATATTGGAGTATATAATAAATAAAATACTATCGGAGTAAAAGCTCCGTGGCTTTTACTAGATTTTTCCCAAACTTGATACAGTCAGAACCAGTCTAAATCCACTGGTTTAATGTTCCAAAGTTTCAAGTTGTGCAGTTTTTAGTATTTGGTTTCCTATTGGACCCGGATTTCTTTGCTTCAGCTGTTAATGAGGTGGGAAGTGCTGATTTCCTTCTCAGCCTTTTGCAGACCAGGTGTCTGCAGCCCTGGCAGTGTCTGGGGTAGGTGTTGGTTGCTGTTTGCTGCTGGGGTTGATGTTTTGCTGCTGGGCGTTATCTTTGTGGGTATCTTTTGGGCCATTCCCAGTGTGTTGAGATGTTAAACTCATCTCCATTGAGTGGTGTAACATCCCTTAACAAAACCTTTAACATTTCTTTCCCCAGGGCCAAGGCAAAGCAAGCCTGAGTAGAGAAATGAAAGGTTAACAATGTTAAAGTCTATGAGCTGGTGTATTTTCCATCAATGCCATGGCAGGCAGGGCAGTGTGTGAGTGTAAGTGAGAGCCAGAGTGGAATTGTCCCGTGCTCTTGCCCAGCAGCTGTGGCAGGGCAGGCCCAGAGAGCGCTGAAGCTGCAGCAGTGGCAGCAAGGGCTGTCCCCGGTGGCTGGAGCTGCCAAAGGAGGGTGGCCAGGCCGAGGATTTCAGCAGAGGATGTGTGGGCAGGCCCAGGGCCTTGCCCCGCTGTGGAGCCCTGGCTGCTGCTGCGCTGCCTTCAGTGCAGCTCAGTGGGGGCCTCCCATCCTCCTGCTGCAGGCGGGAAGTGCAAATCTCCGGGGCTGCAGAGACCTGGAGCCGAGGCTGAGGGGTCCCCCCGTGCTCAGCTGTGCTGGCGGCTGTTTCTGGCCTCGGGGCCACTTGGCACGGGCCACGCCACTTGGCCACCAGTGGTGCTGCTCTGCACTCCTTAGGCAGGAGCCGATGTCCTGCTGGGATGTTGGCAACAGCAAAGTGCCAAGGCAGGCTCTGTGCCAGCCCAGCTTCCTGGGGGAGAGATTGCACCAGAGACAGGATTCTGGCCACAGACTGCTTTAAATGTGCATCCCTTATCTCCACCCTGCACTAGGTGGAGAATTCCCAGGGTAAGGAATTCCCGAGATCAATTGCAAGGGGAAATAATTGAATATCTGCCCTGGGTCTGGCTCTTCTTCTTGCCCAAGCCAATGGCAAAAGCCGTACCCATGGCATCTTGGTTTCTATCCCCAGCTTCCAAAGGTGTTTCTTCCCCTTTCATTCTTTGTACCCAGCCTGAGCTCTGGGGGTGCCAGGGGTTCTGGAGGTCCCATTGTATTCCTAAAGCTGCCATAACCCCCTGGAGGATCTTTCCTGTAAAATGAGTTCTGCTCTCTGAGTCTGTTGCTTCCACAATGCCTTTTATATTAATTACTCCTTTTAGAAATACCTTAATAAGTGATCCAGTGGCTGCTGAGCAATCAGAATTGCTTTTGCCCCCCTGTTAGGTGAGATGGTGTCACCAGAAGATATTGAAGCCTTCCTGCTCAGGGCATGTCAGTGCCAGGCTCTTACAAGCACACACAGCTGTGCCGGTTGAGCTGACCATGGAGGGTAACCTGGGCTTTGTCTGATTCCCTTTCCTCAATAACAGCGTGTCTTGGAACTCTTTTCCCTTCTGCTGCCCTTGAAGAGCCATCCACAAAGACATTTTCTGCCTCAGGCCAGGCAATGTCTCCTGAATCTCCCCCAGGCTGGGTCTGGAGCTCTGTCACTTGAATGCAGTGCTGGGTTTCTTCCCAGCCCCTCTGGGGGCTGTTCAAACAGGAGGCTGGGTTAAACCCTTCCCCTGTCCTCAGTTCTGAATCCTCCTGTGCCACTGAACAAGTTTCACACTGTAATAACCGAGCACTGCTCATCCATTGCGAGGCTCTTTTGGTTATCAAAGCTTGAACTTGATGGCAGACTGGAACAGTTGGAGATCCTGTTGTCATCAGGTTTTGGGCCTCGGTTCCCGTTGAAGCTGTGGCTGCACAATTCTGCAGGCAATGAGGCCACTGTGGCCACTGGGTGAAACATTTTGGCCCAGGAATTCCTTTGGCATGGCCCTGTTGAACATTCCCCTACAATTCCAATTTCTTTTCTGAGTCTGGAAGAGCCACAGCTGAGGCATCAATATTTTTGGTTGTTCATTTTCTCAGGTTTTGCTCTCTTTCTCCTGTCCATACCACAGCATGGAGGCTGTCTGGGGTTAAAAAGTCCAGACATTTGACACAAAGGTACAGCAGCAATAGCCTCTGTATCACCTTTTACAATATTACAATGCCATCATCAAATTCCTTCCTAGATAATTACAATCACAGTAGGAAGAGAAAAAAATTAGTTTAGTTCAAATTAACCTCCCACAGCTCCTAATTGAACAAATGACACCAGCTCAGCTTTCCCATTTATTCCCTTAATAATGAAAACATTCCTTTACAATGTTCCCCCCTTAGGTGTAAGATTCAGAGTGGATGGAGAGGCCCCTGTGTCCATCAGGAGAGGCCTCCTCTGGATGCAGACCCAGCCTGGATGTTCTCCAGGGCTGCAGTGTGGTGGGTCCCCGGTGGGATGGGAGCTCAGAGAGCCCTGACAATCCATGTCCATGCAGGGGTGGACTCGCTCCTCCTGAGGGTGCTGCTGTCTGTGCTTGCAGTGTCCTTGTGGGCTGCAGCTGGAGCCCTGACTCCTTCCCAGGGGCTGTTTGGGTGGGCTCTGCCCTGGCCAGGAGGGCAATGCCTCTGCCAGGTGCTTGTGGCCGACGCCGTCCCCTGGGTGCTGGGGCCCCCTTGGGCCCTGGGGTTGGTCCCTCAGGGGCTGTGGGAACTCTGCCATGGCCTTTGCCTTCAGCTTGGCCTTTTGCTCATCCCTCCTTGCCTTCAGCTGCTGTGCCTTTGTGCCCAAGTGCTGCAGGGCCTTCTTGTGCCACTCCTGCAGCCCCGGTCACTGCCTGTGGGTGCTCATCCTCTGAGAGCTGCTGAGCTTTCTGCAAAATCTTTCCTTTCTGCAGGGACCCAAGCCAAATCCTTCACAGAAAATCCTGATCCTTCATGTACCATCATGTCATGTTTTGATGCTGGCACAATGCCTGTGTCCCCATGGAAATCCAGCTTCCCAAATAAGTGCTGTGAGATGCAATAAGGAACAGAGCAGAGCAGGCCTAAGCTTAGAAATAAAGGAGAAAGAACTTTATTAAGCTACTACTATAATAAAAGATACACACTACATCCAGAATTAAAACCTTCCAAAACATTCCTCCTCCCCGCACCCAAACTCCAACAAATCACAGTGGGACACAACTTGGACCCTTAATCAGGTCATCACCTTTCAGATAATCAATACTCAGTCTATCAGGGGAGAGAGGAGTCTCTCTTGCACCACAGACCCCCAGGAAACACAATTGCCACCTCTCGTGTTTCCATGTCACACATGGCACTGCCCAGAGAAAATGTGCCAGTGTGACACTCTCCTTGCCATGTCACAGTGCCCTCACCGCCGTGCATGGACAGACTGCTCATAGGGCTCCTTTAAGGATGCTTTGCCAAGGAACAAAAGAAACAACAGTTCAGTTTTCATTTTGGGAACACAGTCCCCCCCCATTTTCCTCCTCCCCTGGGGCTGAGGGTGCAAACGGAGATCTTCTTCCTGAAGACAGAGGGCATCACCACACCCTCCTCAGCTTTCCTCTGTTCACTCCATTCCTGTGCTGGAATTTGCTGAAGCAGGTCTCTTGGCTCACCATTGCATCCCCCTAAAGATGCAGTCTCTGTTGCAGGAGAAACTGGTTCAGTCAATGGCTTACAAGAAAAGTCCAGCCAAAAGCTACTCCATCATCTCCCCCCCAACCTTCTTTCCCTAACATCTCAGGTCCCAGACTGTCTCTTTTCTCTTTCAAGTGGAGGAGGAGTAATATTTCACAAAGCTTTCATTTCCCAGGAAAGGGTTAAAAGTCTTGGACTGCCCTGGCTGCTGAAATCTCAGCCCAGACCCCAACTCCCAGGGCTGGGCACCTTCCCCCCCTTCTCCTTCTCCTCTGCCAGTGAATTTCCAGGTGCCTTCAGGCTCTCTGTCTGTTTCCCTCCGGTGGTGTGGGGGCGTGGGGAACAAAGACATCTCAGGTTTCCTCCCCCTGGCCTATCCCTCCCAGGCCGCAGGGCTTCCATTCCCCCACCCAGCCCGTGGTGGGCGGGGGAGAGTCTGCACTCTGCAAAGAGACAGTTCTGCTGGGAGTTCTTGCTTTGAACCCTGTGTTCTCAGAGGCGTGCCCATGCCTTCAGTGGCCACTCCCGGTGCCAATATCCAAACCTGACCACTGATTGCTTTGAGACCGGCTGCCTGAGAAAATTCACTTCTATGTCCAACCATGAAAATCTGCATTTCCCAGATGTTGCTTTGTTTTGCTCCTTGTGCTCAGGGTCCCCTGCACAGCCCGGATGGCAGAGCCGGTGCCTGTCCTGCCGCAGTGTCCAAAGGCGGCCCCCCCGGCGGGCAGGGCCGGCAGCTCCCCGGGGCCGGGCAGCGGCCGGGGCGTCCCGCAGCCTCCTGGGGGCCGGGGGCCACTGCCGGCCCTGCCCGGGGCTGGTGGGCTCAGGCAGCGCCCGGCGCTGAGCCCCGGCTGCCCCACAGCCCCGGCCCGGCCCCGCAGCTCCCCACAGGCCCCCAGCCCTGCTCCCGGTCCCGCACCTCTGCGCCCGCTGCTGCCGCTGCCCACCACAGAGAAACCCCTGACATCCTGACCTCCTGCTTTTCCTCTCCTGGAAACTGGGAATTCAAAGTATCAGCTGGCAAATTGTCAGGATAAGACCCTGCTGAAAAACATCCCAATCCTGAGTATTTTTCTCTTCCTCCTCTTTGCCATCATCCTTTTTCTTACCACACACATTCCTCCTGCTGCTTCTTGCCTGAACCATATTGCTGCACACTCCCCTTCACCCGATCCCTTCCCAGCACACCAACACCATCCATCCCCTGTTGTCCAAATCCCTTCTCCCCTTCCCTTATTGCCCCCCTGGGTGTCCATGTCCTTAATTACCTCTGGGGGAATGTGCAAACTACCTCAGCATTCTCCCAAGGGACCCTTCAGAGACATTTTGGGGTCATCATCCCTTTGGCCAGGACCCCTCCCTGGCTTTCCCTTTTCTCCCCTCCATGGGTGCCCTGCCATGTTCACTCCCCGAAGATCCCAGGGCACTCACTGATGAGATTTTCAGTGCTCTCTCCCTGCTGACTCTTCACAGACCCCCCTGATGTGTCACTCGTCTGTCTCCTGGTCACTCCCGGGTCCCCAATCAATCCCCGGTGCCGCCGCCAGCCAAGGGAGCCGATCACCCAAAGTGGGTGAGGCACCTTCAGCTGCACTCCCTGCCCCAGGGTGTGCGGAAAAATTGACATCACCAGAGGATTCTGTCCACAAAGCAGACAGAGGAGTCCTGTGAAATTAATTTCATTTCTAAAAATGGGAGAGGCCATGGGACATTCCCCATGGGATCTCTCCAGTTGTTGGAGGACACAGCCTCCTTTTCATCCTAATTCTCCTGGCCACATCTCCCTCTGCTTTCCCCACTGGCTGAAGCACTTGAGAGCTACAGACTTCCCAATCCACCTACTACATACTCCCTTAATATGCTCCCTGCTTTTATATAGCAAATGATATTCATGGCTCTGTTAAGTCTTTGTTGTTCTTCTGGAAGTTCATGAATAGAGCAGGGCCTTGGCTGAGCAGCAGTCTGTGTCATCAATTAATAACATTTTCTGAAACCGATTCCTTCTCCTGTCACTCCCTTGTTTACAGCTCCCTGGCCCTCTGAGCCTTCCCCAACTGGACTCCCCCCCTCGGCCCCATCGCCCCCGCGAGGGGAATTTGGGGAGGTGGGAGTGGGGCAGCGCCAAGGCCGGGCCCCCCCGCGCTGTCCTGGCGGGAGCGGCTGCAGTGGGGACCGAGTGCGGGCGGGAGCGGCCGAGAGCCCAGCGCTGCCCCAGCCCGACCTGCCCCAGCTCCATCCCTGCCCCTCGGCTGGGATGCTGTGGGTCTGGGGGGAAGAGGGAGCCGGCAGTGGGTGCTGGGCCTGGGGGCAGGAGGAGAAGGGAAGGAGAAGCAGGCTTGAGGAACAAAATGGTCAAACGATGCAGGTGGCAGGAGAGGGTGGGATTGTGCAGGAGAAGGAGGAATAGCAGGAGGAAGAGGAGTGTAAGGAAGAGGAGATATACAAGAGGAGGAGGAGAAGGAGTAGAAGGAGGCAGCAGCAGAAGGTTCCACCCCTCCCTGTGTCTGCAGCCTCCCCCAGCCCCAGGAGCATTTCTCCCCCCACATGCAGCAGGTGACTGTGGAGGGGGATCCATGATTTTCACGGGGTGAATCTTGGTGTTTCTGAGCTTTCTTGGGCTAAATATTGGTGCTTTGGTTTTATGTGGCAGCTGAATCTTTATGTTTTGGAGGAGGTTTTTGCTGACTTGTGATGTTTGGGGAGTTTTTGATCTGTATCTTGAAGTTTGCGGGATTTTTGGGCCAGATCTTGGTGGTTTGGAGGTTCTTACAGACACAAGGTTCCCAATGACTTCCTGAGATGAACTGGAGCAAGGAGGAACCTCGAGTCCAAGGTGCTCTCCTCTTGTTTTTTTCCCCAAACCAGGATTTTTCATTCCCTGGGCGTGTCTGGATGGAGGAGGAGGAAAAGCCCCGGAGATGCTGCAGGAGGAGGAGCTGCAAACCCAGCCCAGGGAGCTGCGGGGAGGAAAGAGCCCCCCTGAGCCAGGAAGGCGGGCGGAGATCCAGCCGGAGCTCGGAGCTGGTGGAGAAGCCTCATGGCAGGGAGAAGCCCCACAAGTGCTTGGAATGTGGGAAGGGTTTCAGTCGGAGCTCCAACCTGATCCGGCACCAGAGGATCCACACTGGGGAGAGGCCCTACGAGTGTGGGGAGTGTGGGAAGAGGTTTCACACCAGCTCCAATCTCCTCGTACATGAGCGGATTCACACAGAGGAGAGGCCCTTCCGCTGCCCTGACTGCGGGAAGGGCTTCAAGCACAACTCCAGCCTCACCGTGCACCGGCGCATCCACACCGGGGAGAGGCCCTACGAGTGTGGGAAGTGTGGGAAGGGCTTCAGACAGAGGTCTGGCCTGATTGAGCACCAGGTGATCCACACTGGGGAACGGCCCTATGAGTGCTTGGAATGTGGGAAGAGCTTTGGGCGGAGCTCAGCCCTGAGAACACACCAGCGCATCCACACAGGGGAGAGGCCCTACGAGTGTCCCCAGTGTGGGAAGAGGTTTCGGACCAGCTCCAGTGTCCTCCTACATGAGCGGATTCACACAGAGGAGAGGCCCTTCCGCTGCCCCGACTGCGGGGAGGGCTTCAACCGCAACTCCAACCTCACCAGGCACCGGCGCATCCACACCGGGGAGAGGCCCTACGAGTGTGGGAAGTGTGGGAAGAGCTTCTCACAGAGCTCAGCCTTGACCCAGCACCAACGGAGGCACCACTAAGGGAAGCCCTGTGAGTGCCCCGAGTGAGGGAAGAGCTTGGAGTGAGGGAAGAGAGTGAGGGAAGAGCTTGGAGTGAGGGAAGAGAGTGAGGGAAGAGCTTGGTGCGCTGCTCCAGCTCCATCCCCCATGGGAGGATCCGGGCTGGATGATCCCCAGTGACCCCCGTTGGGCAGAGCCCTGGTGCCCCCGTATGGGGAATAAAACAGAGAGTAAAGCAATGGAGCTGATAAAGGGGCCCGATATCTGAGGCCTGACTGAGCAGAAACTGTGGGAGACACAGACACAGTTTAAGTCTCCCTGGGCAAGGAGTGACCAAGCAACATGGTGTGAGACTTTGTGATAAAATAATGTTACCAGGTGATGTCATGTCATGAAGAATGTGTAACCAATGGGAAATTGTTACCAAAAACAGAGCCCTATATAAGGACCCTACAAGTAAATCCCTGTATAAAAACCTGGTACACACAATAAAATTGGCTTTGGTCTAATCTCGGATGTCCCCGTCTCTCCCTGGTGGATATCCCTGTTGTGGGTGATCCCCGTTGGGTGGGGGGAAGGTGTTGGAGGGATTTCTTTCCCTTCTCCTCGTGCTGCCGTGGTTTGGTTGGTAATAAATTCCCTCCCTGTGCCCGGGCTGGGTCTGTTGTCCCCGTGCCGCTGCTCGGGGCGGGATCTCTCCCGTTCCTTCTCTGCACTCCCGGGCCTCTCCTCAGCCAATGAGAGAATGCGGTGGACAAGAGTCAGCCAATCAGAGAGAGCGGCGCTGATGACTCAGCAGTTGCCGGGCAGACCCGCAGCAGGCAGTGTTCCCCACCCGGACCCCGCCCTCCCTGCCCAGTGCCGGCCCCGCCGTGGGGTCCCCCCAAGTCCCTCCCCAGTGCCCCCATAAACTGGGCTGGGTTTAACTGGGAAGCGTTACTGGGAACACTGGGAGCAGGCGGGCAGGGGCAGAGTGACAGCAGGGCTGGGGGTACACAGGACCCCCCCAAAATCAGCGTGGGGATGGAGTGGGGGATCCCGGCTGGGCCCGAGGCCACAGGGAAGCTCTGCGGCCGCCGGCGGCTCAGGAGCTCTGTGGGCAGAGAAACAGGGGTGACACCGGGCTGGGGGCCCCAGGTGGAGCACCCACAGTCTTGGGGAGAGGGGACATGACCCCCGGGACCCCCCTTGACCCACTTGCACAGGTAGAAGCCGAGCCCCAGCACCAGGAAGACAAAGCCCAACTCGTAGTCCCTGATCCCCGTCTGCATCTTGCTGCCGGTGGCGTCCAGCGGCATCTCTGGGAGGCCTGCAGGCATCAGGACCCCCCAAAACCTCTCACAGACACCCCAAGCCTCTCCAAGCACCCTCCTGATTGCTCCCAGTCCACCCAGGACCCCCTGAAACTTGCCATGATCCCTTCCTCACCTCCCCAGGACCCACCAAAGCCTCTCCCATCCCTTTCAGAATCCCACAACCCCCTTCCAGTCTCCCCCCACCACCCCAGTACGCCTAAACCCTCTCCCAGTCCCTTCTCAGCCCCACCAGGACTCACCCAAACGCCTCCCAGTCTCTTTCCAGCACAACCAACCTCATCCCAATCTCTGCTTTTCCATCCCCAATCTCCATCCAGCTCCTCCAGGCTCACTCTAGTCCCTCCCAGTCACACCCAGTACCCCCAAACTCCCTTCCAGTGCCCACCAGGACCCCCAGAACCTCATCCCACCAGCTTCTTCTCTGCTGAATTCCTAGAGGAAGACCAGGCCCAGCTACTACCAGACCTTCAGAGAAAACTCCACCCTTCTAGAGATCACCACTTCAGCAGCATTTCATCTGCCACTCCAGGAGGAGCAGCCACCATTTTAACTGGACTACTACCAACACCCTGACTCCTCAGGGTGTCAGGTTTCTGCCTCCATCACTAGTTTCATTTGTACTAATTGCATTTTTTAAATTATTATTTTTATTTAGTTTTTTTCCTGGTAAAGAACTGTTATTCCCATTCCCATATCTTTGCCTGAGAGCCTTTTGTTAAATTGTGGTAATTCGGAGGGACAGGGTTTACCTTTTCCATTTCACAGGAGGCTTTTGCCTTCCTTCACAGACTCCTGTCTTTTCAAACCTAGACATGGGCCTTGTTTTGTCGAGAGTTCAGCTGAAGAATGGCTGCGCAGCAAGGGACATGAAAGAGTTAAGTTGATGAGAGTGTGAGAATACGTGACTTCTAGCATGAAAACAACCTTGAGAAACAGATGTCTCCTAACAACCTTGAGCATACAGGTGTCTCGTTAATAAAGAAGCAGTAACTGCAAGGCTTATCGCAAAGAGATATATGTGTTAATAGAAAGCTAACCAATCCTGAGCTTCGCTTTTGCAATATGTATGAGCTAATCAGTGCTTGTATAAAGAAACTGTAATCGACCCCAATAAACTGAGACTTGTTGATCATGACAGCATGAGACTTGTCTCCCGCGACAATCTCACCAACATCTGGCGCCCGAACGGATGGGATCCCCCCGCCTGGATCTGTGAGACATTTGCGTTGGGGTCGGGTCCCGCAGCTAGACGGACGGCGATTAAGCTCCACTACCTGGAGCCGCGCCCTGAGTGACCACAGCGGTGAGCTCAGCCGATACGTGCTGCCGAAGCCTAGAGGGGCTGCAACAGCGCTGACGTGAGTAATGGATAGGCAAGCAGCATATAACCCTTTCACCTCCTTTCTCAGACGGAGGCAATTTAAAGGGCTTGATTTGGATAGGGATCTCCAGGCTTCCGTTCCGCTTCTCTTTCATATTCTCTCAAAGAGAGCTGAAAAGGTTAAAGAAGCCGATTTGGAACAGTTGGTTCTGTGGGCAAGAAACAAAGGCAAGCTGCAAAAGCCTTCGCTGATTTTTAGTAAAATCGAATGGCAAGAGCTGGGGCAGCTGCTTTGGGACGCAGTGATAGAACGCGGAGACGGGAGAGAAGCGGTGCTGGCCCCTCGCCCCCCCGCAGCAGCGGTGGCGGCGGCGAGCAACCCAGCGCGGCATGTCAATTGTAGCAGGAACAAGCGATCACAAAACAAGATACAAAGGCAAGAAAAAGTTACAGAAAGCCCTTCCTCGTCCCTTGTGGAACGGGTTGGCAGAACTAAGGCAACGGGCTGTGGCGGAGAGCAGCAGGGTGCGGCGGTGAGCACCGGCCAGCCGCCCGGGCGGACCGCAGAAGCGGCAGCGCGAAGTGGCAGCGCGGAGCGGCGGGCGCGGGGCCAGGCAGAGCGGGGCCAGGCAGAGCAGGGCCGGCCAGCACCGAGCCTGAGGCGGCCCCGGGGCGGAGCAGACTTCGGCCGAGAGACAGAAGGCTCCTTGTTGCTGAGCAACAGCGCGAGGAGGGAGATGGGCATTCCCGGCCGCGGCAGGGGCATCTCCTCTTCCCTCCCCACAGTGACGCAGCAAGGACGGGAGCGAGACGGCACCGCCCCCTCATCTCCCCACAGCACCCAGCAATGGCGGCGGAGACGCTGCACAGCCTGGTTGCCACGGTAACGACAACACCGAGAGCAGCAGTGCCACCAATGGAGGGATTGCAACACCACAGCAAAAATTTCAACAGCATTTTTCCAATTCCTTGCAAAAGTCAGAAGACGGAATGAAAAAGTATAGCAATACTGAGTGTTTTCCAAGATACCAAGAGGGATAGACATTATGCAAATCAATGTTATTTCAAATACAATATAGATGAAAATCACTGTAAAAGACAGAAATGTTGATAATGATTTAATTGCCAAAAATGTCTCTGAAAACAAAATTTGAGAAAAGTCAGTCAGATGGAATGTTGGCATTGAGTTCACAATTTCTGGTTTTGAGTTTTTATAGATAATAAGATAAATGATGATTGTCAAGTTTTGTAGGTAATGATAAGTAGTGATTGTTACTAATGTTATATGAATGCTTTGACAAGATTGTTTTAAACTATTTTAAACATTTCTTGTTAATAGGTTGATCATATAATGTAAGTTGTCTGACTTTTGTGATAAGAATTATTATTAAGATGTTAAGGTATTGAGGTGTTGTTTTAATATTTACAGTCAGTTTTCATATGTTTTATTGGGTTTTTTTAGGTGATTGATTGTAAGATGTATTTTTCAGGATCCTGTGTGTTTGATTTTTTAACTACTCATGTGTTTTCTTTATTCAATTTTCTATGCAGCTGCAGTTCATCTTCTTTTAAAAATTTATAGTCCAAGTTCTGGTTCAAGATTTCAGACTTCAAATTTTCAGATTTTTGAAGAAAAGGTTTGTTGTATTTAGAGAATTTTTGTCTTGAAAGAAATTTTAGACAGGTTCAATTATTTGATGGTTTGATAAATTTTTAATAATAAGGTTTTTTACTTATAACTGTTATTTCTAAGACTTTTGTTTTAAACATATCCTCCAATTAGAGTTCAAGCTCTGGCCAAGCTCTGGCTCTACGTGGATGGTGTGGTTGACCCAGGTGTTTTCGGCATCAAAAAGTATTCAAGTCCTTTTGGCTTGACAATTTGACCATACAGGACAGCTGAGCCTCAAAGGGAGTTTTGGAGAGACATGATCCGGACATGTTTTATCCAAATCTCTGTTGTTTTAAGGTTTTTCAGCTGCTGCAGACTCTGGGATGACAATTTGATAGTGTAACACTTGGTAACTGTGATTTTATATGTAATATTGATTGTGTATTATCTGATTGATTTTTATTTGTTGTTAGTTTCTTTACTATGTGCATTGTTTTGTTTTTAATGTTTTTTCATGTTTATAACAAAGATGTTGATATTTCCATTTCTTCATGCAAGTTTTAGGGAACAGAATTGAGAGAGGACCCTCCAGTCCCAGTGGGGGTGTTGGGTTTGTTTGTGTTTTAACAGGTGCAGAATCTAGATGGATTTCAGTGAAGAATGTGGAACTTATCAATTGCAAGAGGGCACTGATCTCTCCACAAGTGGATCAGAGGATGCACAGCAAAAGTGGATTGTGCAAAGATTTGTGTTTCACCCACAGAAGATCGTGGGCTTTAAATTTTTTTTATATAAGTGTGTTTTTAATGATGTTATAGAATTTTTTTTGCTAAGTTTTAATAAGTTTTAGTAATGCCTGTGATTTTTCTGTTCATCTTGCCATTGTCTTTCAATGGCAAAAGAAAAAGAGGGAGGTCCCAACGTGGATCAACAGAAATTCTACTTGAGTGAGTGTTTTTACCCGTCCAACCAAGACGTCTGGGCAGGACAGATGCTCTTGCTGCATTGATACGAAAAGGCAGAAGCAGAATTTTAAAAATAGATGAAAAAGATATCAACCCGCAGTGATAACAACGTGAACAACAACAGTTTGCCTGGAACATCCCGTGATGAATCCAGTTCTGATGAAAATTAATTTTGTAGAGTACAGAAAAATAAGTTGAAATATTATAAGTGTGAAGTTAGATTTATCAGAAGTTAGTTTATTAGAAGTTATAGTTTATGCTTAGAATTAAGATTGTTTCTTTCATGTTAAACAGGGCATTCAAAAACCTGAGAAATATGTGGATCACTTGGGCCAAACAAACTAGGCAAGATTAATTCTGCCTGTGGTTCTAACCCCTTTTTATACTTGTTTAATTGGAGTCTA